GAGTTCCACTCGTGATGCGATACAACCCCCCCGATTGTAAGGGTGGACCAGTATAGCCACTTGTGGGGCCTACCCTATGACTTTCCCAATCCTAGCCGTTCAATCCAGAAACCCTACCGGCAAGACTCCCATGGGATCCGCATAGTCCCTTGGCATGGCAATCTCGCCCTTTGGAGGGAGCTAATATATCTCTTCTTGGAGCTGGTTGCATGCCTATAATAGCCAAATGGGCTTAAACTAGTCAGTCTACGATGTTCATAATTTTTTCTTTTCTTTTCTTTTCTTTGGGCATTGCTTGCTTCTTTCTCCGAAGTTTTGTGTTTTCACTCTCCAGAATTTGCATCAAATGATGTAGTGTACATATCAGAATCTTGTCAATGAAATACATTCAATTGATTTTGTAATTTCTTTACAAGTTACAACTTAATACAAGAGAAGTCTTTTTTTTTGTTTTGTTTTCCTTCTCAAAAAATAAAAAAGTTCAACAATGGTTTAAATTCTTTTTTTCTGGAAAAAAAAAATGTTTATTGTAGAAAAATATCACTAAAATAAGTGCTAGGATAAAAGTTGTTACATAGAGGATAGAGCCAGAAATGAAATAAATCAAAGTTGAATTTGATCAATAAAACACCCCAATGAAGAGTGAGAGGAACCACCATCCACTAAGGCTTTCTTGCTCTTTACACTCATCTCCTTTACTCTCTCTCTTATATCACTGTCCCTCTCCATCACTTCCCTTATCCCTCTCCCTATCTCCTCTGCACTCACCACCACTTCACATCCCTTCCTATAATCCATCTTAATTTCCACTGCCAATCCCAATTCCTTCACCAGCTCAAAAGAATTTAATTGTTGCTCCGAGTACATTGGCCACGTGGCAATTGGCACGCCGTACCATAGACTCTCCAGCACGGAGTTCCACCCGCAATGCGATACAAACCCTCCGATTGCCGAGTGGGCCAGTATAGCCACTTGTGCGGCCCACCCTATGACTTTTCCAATCCCAGCCGTACGATCCAGAAACCCTTCCGGCAAAACTCCCTTGGGATCTGCATAGTCACTTGGCATGGTAATCTCGCCCTTCGGCGAGGGCTTTCGTAGGGACCACAAGAATCGAAGCCCACTGTACTCCAGTGCACACGCTATCTCTTTCACCTGGGCCTCACCAAAGCTTCCCATGCTCCCAAAACACAGGAACACAACAGACAAGGAAGGCTGATCATCAAGCCAACTTAAAATATCATACTTTTGTCTAGCCTTGTCTGAACCCACGTGGAAATCATCACTCTCAAGATTCAACAGAGGTCCCACCGGGTACACAGGTGGGGTTTTACCGTCAAAAAGAGAGTGAAGCGCATGTGATTCCAGCTCTGAGAACGTATTTACTAAAATACCCTTGGTTTCTCCAAACCTCTTTGCGTGATTGAGAAATGCTGTGGCACCCTCCTTGTCCAATAGCACACTGGGCAAGACATGTGCAGGCAAAGAGTTGACGAAACTCGGGATGGCCAACTCAGCCTCCGAGTCCATCAACTTAGCCGCGTCCGTGCCATGCTCGTCTCGAAGCGTTTGGAGGTGGAGCAAGAACGTGAGACACCCGGCGTTGGAGGTGAAGAACACGTAGGAAGGAACCCCAAATTCATCGGCCAAATCAATCATAGTGGTGCAGAACATGTCAACAACCAGCCTGGCCAACCGAGCTTGGTTCGACTCTGACTGAGTACTTGACTCGGTGACGGCGGATCTGACGTGGGTTTTGTGATTTTCGACGAAGGTTTTGAAGAACGAGGAGGGGCTGGTGTTTTGTGTGTCGACGTGCGCTTCGGGGAGGTTGATGAAGTTGATGCGTCGTGAGATGGAAGCATCTGTGTTGGTGAAGAGTTGGTCGAAGGGGAGCTTCATGATCTCAACCGTTGCTTTGCGATGAAGAGCTGGTGATCTCTAGCCGCGAGTTGCTTTGCGATCTCAACCGTTGATAAGAGGTGCCCGATGCCCGGGCCCGGGATGAACACAAGTTTCCTCATTTTGTGTTGAATGCAATGAAAACCTCAGCTAATAAAACTTAGTGTATATATAAATCTTGAGATTCGAAAACTAGGCTTGTACGTGGGATTGTCTATGAAGTCAAGATTTTGAGTTATATAAATCTTGAGATTCGAAAACTATTGGATATGGTCCATTATTGTAGTCCACTAGGTAATAGACTTGGAAACCCAAAAGAAAAAGGACAAAACAAAAATTGATTTTGGATTGAATATGTCAATGATATATGCAAATAATTCGTAGTCGTTGTAGATTTGCATTGAATATGTCAATGATATATGCAAATAATTTGTCAGTTTTCTCATTCATCAAACAAGACAATTAAGAAGGCAAATCATTTTATTTAATGGTGAAGACAAAATTATATGGCTCTGTATTTATCTATGTAACTGAGATTACAGCCTTTATTGGACCTCACCTCTTCTTAATTTCAAAACCTGAGAGATATTAAAGCCTTTATTGGAATTTCATTTCCCCCTTATTATAAAAAAAGACTGAAGTTTACATACGCGACTTTATCGTATAGCCATCAGTGTTTCTAATTCACGTGTTATATCGTACGACTACAAATGATTTTAAGCTTTGATGAATCAAATGTTAAATCTGATCAATAAAATGATCCAATGAAGAGTATGAGGATCCACCATTCATCTTGGATTTTTTGCCCTTTTCACTCATTTCCTTCACCCTCTTCCTTATAACACTATCATGCTCCATCACTTGTGTTATTCCTCTCTCTATTTCCTGTGCACTCACAACCACCTCACTGTCCTTCATTTTGATCTCCACAGCCAATCCCAATTCCTTTACCAGCTGAAATGCGTTTGTTTGTTGCTCCGCATACATTGGCCACGTCGCCACGGGAACACCATACCACATACTCTCCAGCGTGGAATTCCATCCACAATGGGATACAAACCCTCCGATTGACGAGTGGGCCAAAATGTCCACTTGTGGGGCCCACCCTATGACTTTCCCAATCTTAGCCGTTCGATCAAGAAACCCTTCGGGTAAGACTCCACTAGGATCCGCATAATCACTTGGCATAGCCATCTTACCCTTCGGTGGGGGCTGGCGTAGGGACCACAAGAACCGGAGCCCAGTGTGCTCTAGCGCACATGCTATCTCTTTCACTTGGGCCTCACCGAAGCTTCCCATGCTCCCAAAGCAGAGGAAAACTACGGACAATGGTTGTTGATCATCAAGCCAACTCAGGATATCCCAACCCTTATCATCATCGTCCGTGTTTGTGAAGAGTTTGTCAAAGGGTCGTTTCATGATGAGAAGTGTGATGAAGAGATGGTCATCACGAGAAACTAAGAGCTTTGCTGTCTCAATTGTGGACACAACATGGCCAATCCCTGCGGCTGGGATGAACACAAGTTCTGCTGGTCTCTTCATTTGTGGAGATGAAGAAAGATGACGGCAATGAAAAGCTCAGCTGATTAACTTGCTTATATATATGGTTAATCAATTGATTTGATGTCATGCCTTTGCTGGCATTTTTGTGATGAATTGTATAAAGGTCTAACGTTTTATTTTATAAAAAATCTTGTGGAGCTGAAAAATTGATATTAAAATTATTTATTTTTGGAAAATATGGTAGCCATGAGATGAATTTCCGAGTTTATACTTGTCTAGAAGGAAGAGAGGTCAAACTTTTATATTTTGTTTTAGTGGAAAGTTGAATATGCATTGACTACGTAAATGTTATGAAAAAGACAATTAAGAAATGAGATATTTGTTATACATCAGTTTTAATTTGTCACCTTAAAAAAAAATTTAAGCAAAATATCACCTTAAGTTTTTAAAATTCATGATTTGTCACCTAATTTTAACATCATTCAATTTTCAATCCATTTTTCAGGGTATTTTAGTCTTTCCAAGTAAGAAGGTTTACATAGCTTTATATTTAAATTTATAAAAAAAAAAAAGAAAAAAAAAAAGAGGGCATACATACTGGAAAGACTAAAATTCCCTCCAAAATAGAT